GCACCTTAATCTGCGCAGGGCAGCTAGAAGTACTAGCCTGAGACTCGCATCCGTTTGTGTTGATGTTTTGCAGGCGGCTGCACTGCGCTATGGCTTCGAGCGTCCCGAGGAATTTCTGATTTCTGCAATCCGCCAATTACATTACATTCTTCTAGCCAGATTCAGAGTGCTCAACTCGATGATCGCAATTAGCAGAGTAGTGGCGGGAACAGCCTCGCTCTGTTGGTGTCCTAATAAGGTGAAATGCAAGCGAATACGGACGCAAATCATCCGATAAGTCACCTTCAAGTCGCCAACGCGACTATCGTACCAGATCGTGCTGATGCTATTCATATTCAACGGAGAGCCTGGCTTTAGTGACTGCGGACCATCTTTGTAGAACAAACAAGTTCTCGAGGATTCGTCATCGGCTCTGCAAAATGAGTTGAGCATACGAGGTAAGTATACAGCCTGGAAGCGGAAGGTGCATTATGGGGGCAGTACCTCGAAAGGTCAACGGCTTGACCACAGCCGTAAGAGTTGGTAGCTCGGAAACGTATAACGCCAAACCCAAATAGTCTGCTGGAGTTCTGAGTACGGCGTATAAACCAAGAAATGTGCAGTCTCCAGATCCTACGTCAGCCTTGATATTTGATCGGGGAGAAAGATCTCGGCCAGAACTGTGTTCCGTCTAATGTCATTGCTATCCCTTTCGAGTCTCTTTCGAATGCCCCTCTTCGAATCGTTTAACTGTACACGTTCTCAGTCCAGGTATCAATCCGAATGCAGCACACTCGATATCCGGAGGTCGCGTAGAGGTAAGTGAAGATCCCAACGCCGGCTTCGAATTCTTGCGGAAGCTCAAAAGCCGTCAGGGCGACTCACCTAGACCACTGCGCGCCGCAGGCGCTCATTTCTCGGCTGTCATCGCGAGTTGCTCAGAACCCTCAAGAGCAGTCCCTCTGGGATTGATTGTCCGCTGAGGGAAAAGTGGTTCGTTCCCAAAAGCTGAGTTTCCCCGTTAAACCTGCTCGCCAAGGCCAGGACATCAGGACTCTTCTCGTCGTCGGAACGAACCGGTTCGCGTGAACAGATTCTTCCCCAGGTTACCTCTCTCGATCTCCTCCCATTCCTAACAACTGTCTCACCGGGAGCCTTTCCTTTCCCGTTCCGAAGCTTCCCGGGCGTAACATGAGCCCCACTGCCGGTCGAACCGGGCGACCTGGTACTTGGCAGTGTACTCTCCTTCGTCGCCGTCTTCCGTGAGGTGCGAACACGCCATCCCCTCGATAACGGCTCCTCGGTATAGTGTACTCCCCTCCTTGGGTCAACCGGAGCCTTTCTTTCCCCACTTTGCTTTTTTTTGGGCGTAACACGAGCCCCACTGCCGGTCGAATCGGGCGACCTGGTACTCGGCGGTGTACTCGCCTTCGTCGCCGTCCTCCGTGAGGTGTGAACACGCCGCGTCCGGGTACACCATCTGCTCGTCCGCGTCGTCGTCGTCCTCCGGGGGGCTCCAGTCCAGGACCTAGCAGGGGGGGGGGGAGACGGCGTGGATCATTTCGAACCGCGTTTTGCAATGCTTGAAGGGAATCCACTGCTCGTAGGTGTTCCAGCCGTGAAGAATCTTGTACCGGGATTATCGATCGTCAAGGCGAAGCGGAATTTGGCCTCAGCTCGGCCCATTTCAAAAGCCTCCAAGACACATTGCGACTTTTCAGGCCCTGCAGCGGTGGTGTCACTCCGGCCCCAAATGTGCTTCCCGATCCTCTGGCCTGATGTTTCTTAGGATCGCAATTTCCAGCTTGTCGTCCGGTTGATCTTTCAGCTCACTCGAGGCGGAAAGCTCTCCCTCACTTGGAATCTCGGCCCAAAGTAAAATAGGAGGTCGCTCTTGTAATTTTAAGGCGTAGAGCACTCCCTCACTTGTAATCTCTTCCCGAAGTAACTTTTGGCAGTCGTTTCCCCTGCGTTCTTGTCTTGCAGTGCAAAGCACTCCCTCACCTGAAATCTCTTCCCGAAGTAAAACTCCGCGCGCTTGCGCGCGGCCATCTCCCCAGCTAGCGCCTCTTCGTCTTTCGCCTCTTGACGTGCCGCGGCTTCTGCCGCGGGAGGAGGGTGATCCCCTTGAACTTTGACGAGCGCGCCCGCCGCGCTTAGGTCGTGGTACATGAACCCGCGAACCCTCTCGGTGTGGAAATGGATAACGTAGCACGGCAAGACCTAATATTTCGTGCTGTCGTTCTTTGAAAAGTGGACGGTGCTGGGGCCTGAGCAGTCTGTGCCGTTCATCAGTCTGAGTTCAAAGGTGCCTCTTTGTTTCTGCATAAAGCACCTAACACCCATGCTTCCATCTACGAGCCTCCAAGTACTATATATATCAGCCTGAAGCTTAATTGAAACACAAGCAGCGAGCTGATCGTGGCTCCGCGTGGCAAGGACGAATCGTACTGAGACTCTCTCAGTGGCGAAAAGTAGCTCTGACGCCATTGCCCCTCGCCGATCCATCAGATAACTACGGTTACTAAGCCAACAAGCAGCTCTTTCGTTGGCTCTCTAGCGTATCTCTAGTTGCTTCCAATTAGTTTTTGACAATTTGAAGCAACTTACGAAAGGTCTTGCCGTTCTGCTTCTCCGCGATTTGTCTATTAACAGCCATAGAGGCCCAGATCGTCCGTCTTTACTTTTGATCAATACCGGTCGTTTTACTTTCTCACTGAAGTTGGGCTAGTGCGGGCCATGCCAAGCTGTGCGTCTTTACTTGGTGACTCGACGCTGCCACTAGCCTAGAAGGCTCAAATGCCTAGAAGCTTTGGTTTATTCATCCTTTGAAGTCTCTAGAGGTATATTCATCCTTTGAAGTCTCGATCCCGAGTAAGCTGTGTCAAACGACGTGGTTGACTTTGTACGCGCAAAAGTGCTGCCTTGTCAATCATCTGTTCCGCCTTGCTTTGTGAAAATATCAAATGAAAACATCTGCCAGCAGACAGCCCACCAAAGCCTTCATTGTTCGAAAAAGAACGGGTGTCCCAGGATCACAGAATTTTCTGCACGAGCGCAGCGTGAGCTGCCGTGATCGAACCCGTATTATGGTACCACAGGCAGCTCACATTCCGTCTGATTATTGCACCGTCTGGAAGTCCGACACTTCCCATCTTGCCGTCGCCCACAAAGCCGTTCACCTCGATTTCTAGCACGAGTTCGCCTGGTTGCCTATCCTGGAGACAAAAGAGGGGCTTGTTGTAAGTGCGTGGTCCATAACCTCGTTTCTGTGCGACGAGTGTCCCGTTGCGCTTCTTTTGCCGATAACGTGATGTAAATCTCAAGCTTAATCTACTTGTATTGGCCTGTTATGTGGCGCATGCCATTTGATTGGATTACTGCGCAGCCGTGCGGAAAAAGTGTCGTATGGTAACCAAAAACAAACATGAGCGCTCTGCGTGTTCCGCACGCACTAGGAAAATGATAACACGTGTCGGCCTGTACCTGGCTTGCAGAAAGTAGTATCCAGGGATTCCCCTTAGTCGCTCGTAAGTGTCGCTTGTGTGCTTTTATGGAGCTTTTCGATCGTCGGACGTGGCAGGCTAGGGATGGGGCCCAGTTTTGAGTGGATATAAGCTCAAGAAGGCATCTCTAGTCCGGCTCTGAAGCCTCAGCGTACGTTGCAACATCGTTCTGTGCTAATCGACACACGTTGACGATCTCGGGGTACGTATCCGCGATTGCTCGGTTCGACGTTCAAGTTGTTGCCTGACTTGTAATCGCTGAAAATGAGTGAATTAACTAACAGCGGGTCAGTAGAAGAGGGTTTTGCGAAGTTATGCTGGAATCATCTGATCTAGACCATTAGTAAGCGCCTTCGTCGCAAGAAGTTTCCTGGCAAGGATGGACTCCCATTGATTATCCGAACCGGGCCAACGGGAGCGGCAAGTCATCTGACGCCACAATCAGCTTTGTACACGTTCCTTACCGCAGAGAAAATTGCATGTTATCAGCTTTGCTGGCTTCTCTTAAAGATGATCATTCCGTTCGTCGATTGTTTGGTCGTTCCGTGGATTTTGCCATGCTCCTCGAGAAAGTACTAATGGGCTTGTAAAGATTACAACTTTCATACTTCACGCTAATTTTCTCCTCATTGATGATTATGAATATATACAGATTCCTTCATTATTTTCCGCCTCTTCATTATATCTCCGGCTACGCGTCTACCCCCC